GAGCAAACATTCATGGCCTTAATCGTTGATTCAATAAAAAAATCATTTTTACCTCTAGGTTTCTTGACAGACTCTGTGAAATTGGTTGGATTTTGAAGTTTCGTGTCMATAATCGTTTAGCATATACAGTAACTTATATTACTCGTGAATGCAGCAACCATTGTTTCATAAGTAAACTATGACTTGTCACATTCACAAGAAATCATTTTAAATTTCAACCCTATATTAAGGATCAATACCAATCTATATCCTATGTAACCATATCAATTAAATGATATTACTGATGATAAATTAGTGTAACATGTACATTAAATTCTGGTAACCCAAAAATTATTACAGCTAGGAAAAACAATTAATCTTTATTTACAATATCTAATGTGTGAATCCAAAGATTTCTGTATAAAATTGTGTGAGTAAATAGTAACCTAAATAAATAATGTTTTATAACGAAATTCAAAATTGATACATGGAAAATTAATTATGTTGCTGTCGAAGTTTACATAAACCTATAAAGTTAAGGGTAAATTTGTGAAACGGAATAATTTATGATAGGGTTTTCTGTAAATAAATCTTCAAAGTAGTTAGAGTTTGTGATTTTATCCTTCAGGTGAATTAAATGCAGGTCAACCTTCCAAGTAAGAGAACCCGCAATATAACTCTTCTAAATTTGTGAAACCACAAAATTTACATATCAGATCGAAGTTCTTGAAATGAGAAACCCAAATGGCCAAACCTACTCTTAAAATTTAGGAACTTTAAGGCTTGTAGGCGTAAAAAAGGCTTTTCAATGTTTTAGATCCGAAGAGTTATGTTGCGGGTTGACTTTTACTACAAGGGTTTATTTGCATTTAGTTGACGTAAAATCGCAAATCCTAACACTTGGAGTGTTTATTTGTAGAAAATTCTATAGGATATATTTTTTTAAGAGTGGTGTATTCAGTCAAGTATTTGGAATAATTTGTTTTAAAATCTCATGAACTTTAGAAATTTTTTGTAAAATATGATGTTTATGACGGGAAAAACTGCCTTCTG